TATGCAAAGAAAATTTAGTGCTTCCTGTCTTTTTTTTTCAGTTTAGAATTTTCACATGCACATTTCTACCTGTGTGATGGTTGTGAGAGTGAAATATTAGTCAAGGAATGTGGCTAAATTAATTTTTCTCTAGTTACCTATTGTTCTCGGTTATCTTAGTCTGGAACAAGTTACAAGTTAAACTCAAAACAATTTTTGTATGCTCTCTCTAGAGTCAGAGTTTAGATAAGAGACAGTGCCAAACAAACAAGAGAGACACAACAAAATAAGTACTCCATTTTTACAATCAGACCGTAGACTGAATGTGGTTTCACATACTCTTTGGTTACGTGCCTCAACCATAGTTCTACATACATATTCTAAACTATCCCAAGAGTTTTTGTGGTTTCCTTCCTAGAAGTTTCGTAAAGAAACGTGTAAATGATTGCCTGAGTCTTAAAATCAAAGGTTGTTGTAACTATTTCCGTGTAAAGGTATCAGCACATGCGTACGATCTTGCAACATCTGTTCAACACGAATACGATTAACTACCTGCAGAAACTGCATGGGAGTTTAGAAAAATATTTTAATATACAACGAACAAAGAAATAGTCTATAATAGTTAAGGAAGGGAGAAATTAGTAGCTATTTCAGTTACAACATTACAAGTTAATTATAAAAAGGTTAAAACTATAATCATGGGCATCCGCGAGGGGCAAGGGCACTTGCTCCCCTGGAAAATGAGAAACATAATTCTTTCTTTATTCGTTCAGAATATGTATATGAATTTTTTATTCACTTCACAATTTCACACTATTTTGCTCCCCCTCCCCCCCCGGAAACATTTCTGCGCACGCTCATGACTATAATAATGTTCTTTCTTCTAGCATTAGCGATAACCTGAAAAACAAATTTTGAAGTTTTAACTAATGTAAATGTGTGCTCACAAACCCATCTTCAGACACGGGTATCATTGATAATATCAATACAGTTACATAACTCACAACACTTAATACTATGTTTATCGGCATGAAATATGAAGGCCCCAGCATCCAAAAGCTTAATCTAAGAATAAATTCCAAAGTAGCCATAATAATTTTTTTTTTATTTTGTTTGTTTGTAATTAAGCACAAAGCTACACAATGGGCTATCTGTACTCTGCCTACCACGAGTATCGAAACCCGGATTCAAGCGTTGTAAGTCCGCAGACATGCCGCTGTGCCACTGGGGGAACCCATAATAAATCGTAAATATAGGAAAACATAAAATACAAATTGATTGCGTAAAGAGCCAAAACGAATATTATCAGAGGCTAAATCATAAATGAGATAACCGTTACTTAGAAATATTTATACAGTTCAACTCTGTCAAACGATCATAATTAGCAAAATCTTAAATATATTCAACTCAACATTTAATAGGTCTATAGCTGTTAGAAACAATTTGAGATATATTTGGAGGTAGGTCGTTTGGTTGAAAGGAAGAAACTAAAGTGTTAACGTAATATCACTTGAACTCAAAATAAAATATAACAGTTCTTTAAGTGAAGTATTTAAAATAATGAAACTTTAAAATAAAATAAAGAGAGGACACAACCTAGCATACATTAAAATTGAACATAAATGCCAGTGAAACACAAAAACGTAAAATGACAACAAAATCAAGCATGATGAGTAGAACAACAACAAAACAACCAGAAATTAAAACGCAAGTGAGGATAAATAAACAAGATCAAGCACAAAATATTAGGCTAATATAACTGAAGTGCTCTTACGTGAAAGGTGACATATTAAAACTTTGAAGTCAAATAATATACGTGATTCAGTAAAACCAAATATAGAAATGTAGAAAACAAATAAAACAGAATTGCTATTTCAACTAAAACTTGACTATTGTAAAAGCAAAAATCATGGTATATAATAAATACAATATGCAGTTAAAAATATTTACAAGCACACATTTAAAGGGATGATAGAATGCTGTCAAGGGTTTCCAAGGTCCTCTTTTTCCTGGCTGAAACCTTATTGAGAGCCTCCTTGACTTTCTAAGGACTGGCATGGCCAGGTGGTTAGGGCGCTTGACTCGCAATCTGCGGGTTCAAATTCCCGTCCCACCAAACATGCTCGCTCTTTTAGCCGTGGGGGCGTTATAAAGTAAAGGTCAATCCCACTATTCGTTGGTAAAAGAGTAGCCCAAGAGCTGGCGGTGTGTGGTGATGACTAGCTTCCTTCCCTCTGGTATTTCATTGCTAAATTAGGGACGGCTAGCGCAGATAGCCTTCGTGTAGCTTTGCGCGAAATTCATAACAAACAAACAAAAACAAATCCATTAACTTTCTTCCATTCTTCTGTGTCCTTGAAAGATCTTGATAGGGCCAAAAGCTTTCAACTGTCTAAAGTTGATCCTTAGTATTTACTTTCCCTCATTGTTGGTCACTGGGATGATGACTGAACAATGGCCTGGCTCATCCAGTTGCTCTCATGCAAATGAAGCAAAGTTTAGTCATTGGAGGAAAGGTGCCATAAGAACGCAGCCAATCACAGCCATACTGACGTCTTCTGAGGCGATCTATACATTGAAATGGACGGATTGACAACCAATGTTCTTGAAACCTTCTAATGGGTAAACCCCTAAGCAATCCACCAGAGAAGAGTAGTAGTGGGTGGATGATTTCTACCAATCCAATTCTATTCATTGATGCTTGGAATTCCTGGGCTAGAATAAACTAACAATATTTTCTGCTTAACTTGGATGGTCCAGCACTGGATCCCAAGAAATACCTAAAATCAGATCAATTCTGCATCCGAGAGGTTATTTTCGAAGATGTAATCTACACTTTGAGTCAGTAGAGAATAGAGCAATTTACCAGATAAATTTGGTTTTACATAATCTATGCTGCATATGTCAATGAGCTTGAGTTACAGTGTAAAATTACTCCAGTTTGAAGGCACTGATTAACAAAACATTCTGATTGCTTGAGATCCAAATATACAACAGGGGCAAGAAACTGCACCCCAACAGATAAGTTAAATTACCACAAGAGAGGAGGATTATAAGAAATATCATAATAATAAAATGAACTAAGACAGCAAAGGAAAGAGAAAATGACACAAGTGTAAGCAGACAATGGACTATCTATATTTACACTCACATTGTTATGATTTGCCACTTACTGTGTTAGTGACAACTGTTAACATGCTGATTTCCTCCTCAGCAATGTTTTTGACCGAGCGACTATTTGACCTCCATTGAGAGACATATACAGTGGAACAAGACAGGAAAGATTGTGTTAACACCACACTTTTATGTCAGACTAGTGCCCTAGTGTGGTATCCCTCAATCTTAGATTATTTACTTCAGTGATAATAATTATTATTACACTATAGAATATTAACTCCCAGTTCATACCAATTTATACTATCGTACTATCTGTATAAAAGTCTGTATCAATTGGGCATAATCCACATTTGGGAGAGGAGGTGATATAGAAACTTGGCTGGGAAAATGCTAATTTTCTTAAGTAACCATTATTATACATACTGATGTGGAGATTCAATCAAGTCCACAACTACCTATATCCTGCTTACAAGCGCTTGACTAAACCTATAATTCTTGAGACAATGTTTTGAAAAAATATATGTATATATATAAAATTTTTAAATATACCCCAATAAATATGCATTCTTATTCTCATTATAGAAGAGTAAAATCTGAAAACTTCCACAACAGTTTCTTAGCCAATATATTTATTGTACGTGTGCTAATAGTTGTACAGGATTAGGTAAAGAGTGAAATCTTGAGTATAAGTAAAATTAATTTTTGTTTCACTTTTAAAGAAGAGTTTTTCTGTTTATTAATTAAATAAAACAATGATTATTATTAAAACAATAATAATTAAATAAAACAAATCACAAAGCTACACAAAGGGCTATCTGTGCTCTGCCCACCACGGGTACCGAAACCCGGTTTCCAGCGGTATAAGTCCATAGACATACTGCTGTACCACTTGGGGGCAAACCAAACAAAGGCTTACAGAAAGTATTTTTTGTTCCTTTTTAAGCGCAAAACTGCACAAATGCATGTTTGTACTATGTCTACCACAGCAATCGAATTCTGAATTTCAGTGGCTTAACCCTGAACCACCGGGGAGAGGGTACAAAAAAAAGTAAGAGGGTAAGATGTTTCAGGGAATTTACTGATTACACGGATGTAGCTTTTTCATCTGTTGTATGTTTTGATGCGCTATCGAAATTTAAGTTGATAAAAACTCTTGTTATCATTTGCTAAGCATTAGACAAGTTGAATACAATAAATAATTTAAAACGGCACTTGTGCAATATATATGTGAAGTGGTAGCATAATTTTGTTTGTTTGCATTTAAGCGCAAAGCAACACAATGGGCTAGAAACCTGGTTCTAGCGTTGTAAGTCCGTAGACATACCGCTGTGCCAGGTGGCATAATAACAACTAAATATGTAGGGTCTATTTAGGGCCCTTGTTTTCAATAAACTATTTATTGTGTAATTGTATTAGCGTTGTACTTCTTTTAATTATATATAAGGTGAATACAATATATATTTGTAACATAGTGACTTAGATTTTCTTGAGCAGTGATTTTAAAATATTATTTTATCTACATGCAACTTATTTTCGCCCGTCACACAGGTTTTGAAAGTCAGTGCAGGGATCTAATGAAAATAAACAGACTTCATTACAACTCTCTTACAAGTCTATGTTCTAATAAATAGCTTTTCGTTTCCAGTTATTTTAATTTATATTCTGGTGCAAAGTTTTAATTATTTGTCGAATTTTATTTTTAGCTTCATAATAGTTATTTGCTACAGTGGTAATAAACAAAATTCATTTTCAGTGTTTCAATCGAGGTGATACTAACTATAATTATTTCTGATAGTTGAAACACAGTGGGTACCAGCGTAAGCAGAGGTTAGAGATTATATTCCGTTTCAATTAATCCGCCGCCGCTTTCTAGTTTCGCCAGCCTGAACTAGTTATGTGTTTCAATCAGTGGTACCAAGAACGTCGAGATTTACCACCAGAATAAAATAATGTATGTTAAATGTCGCTATGTATGATATGATCATTTTCTGTTGAAATATATGTTTATCAAAAGTAATTTTTGTCTTATTACTAATTCGCTTTGCGTATTAATACAGTGAATCTAGGCCGAAATTTAGTTTGGTTCGCTTGGCCGACGCCATGTTTGAAGTAATCCGGTTTGTGGGTTACTATACACGTAGTTTGGATTAAAAAAAACATCTTAACCTTGAAAGTTGAATATTATGAATATTCAATTATAGTATCTTTCTCTATAATTTGTGTAGAAAGTCGATACTAAGTGTCAGATAGTTGTGATCACATTTATAGTGTTTATATTCTATGGCGTTGCAAACTTTACTGTATGAAAATCTGGGCCAAGCCCATTTCTGGACTCGATAATCACCAACTATGTTCTTCAAGTTCAACTTCAATTTTAATTTAAGTCAGCTTGGAACTTGCATGTGATGGGAAGTGTGAATCGGTGACTTTTGACTTGTGTCATGATTCATGGCTTTTCTTTGGTAAGTGTAATCCAAAATTAAAATTCTTCGAATATGAGTATACTGAGTAATATTATTATTAGTAGTAGTATTATTATCTCCAGCTTATACTATAGTGTTGGAAGTTATTGTAAATAAAATAAAACTTAAAAGTTGACAAAAATTTTAAAACTAAATGTATTACTAGTTTTACATTTATATTTATAATAACAACAAGAAGACTTAATAATAAGGTTCAGCTCATGTCTTTAAAAGGAAAAAAAAAAGATCTAAAGTGATATAGTTTTAGCCTACAGCTGTATTAATAATAAAATTCGATTTAGAATACATAAAACTACCTTAGAATTTTGGCTCTAGCTGATGCTGGTGTGCCTTTACTTAGTTCTATCAGCTTTTTCATATGCTTGATTGAGAGCTTAAAAATTAATGATATCATAGAACCAAGAATACTCTTTAACACACTGAAATACTCAGCAGAATGCTTTAGTTTTATGAGAAATCTTAGGTATAACCTTTTCTCTGTCTAAAACATCAGTGCTCCTCTCACCCAAGAACTAGTTTCTTTTCACCTAATGTATCCCAAGTGCATTATATTGCTTTTGTCAGTATTACTAGTATTAGTCATTCTTTGGTTATTGAATCAGTTTTTAAATTTTCCAACAATGCCATAAGCTTTCAATTTAACGTAAACTGATTATTCTCCCGCGTGTCACCTTATAAGATGCTGTTTTGAAAGCCTAGAGTACTGAACATAAATGGGGTAGGTCTCAAAATATGATCTCACTAGTTAGTAAATATAAGCAGAGGTTATTTCAACTGAATATAAATGTCATTGGGTTTGATAGCATGTTAAATTTCATATGTCATGTGCCATCTGTTTGAGTTGCTAGTGGTAAGGCAAACAGAATTTTAATTTTTAGGTTGTATCTACAGAAATATTTAATACAAGTCTAAAGAGGCTATAATTTCATTGTATAGGTCGTTGGTTAGATCACATTTGGAGTATTGTGTTCAGTCTTGGGCCCCTTACATTAGTAGTCAAATGGCTACATGCTACAAAGAGCTCTGTTTGTTGAGTTTAATGGACCTAAAAGGCACATGGCTGAATTTGGGCTCATTTGAAAGGAAAATTTCTTCTCTTTCCAAATATACATGCTGTAGAACTGAAGTGGGTCCAACATTGTCAAAATTTTGGTTAAGAGAGTCCCCCCCCATCAAATTTTTTGGTTAACACACAAAAAGACAGATTTATCCATTATCTCTAATTATGAGCAAGGTAGGCTAGGTATATGTTTTATTTCAATATGTAAAGTCCAATTTTGACATTCAAGTAAAATATTGCAATAAAATAAGACCATCCATGGATTGCAAACCATTGTTGTAGATAGTCCAAATTTATTTAAAAATTATTGAAAAACATTTACATTTTAGGCCAAACACATGTATTATGAAAGAGATAATATATAAAAGCACCATTATACAAAAATAAAAAATCTATGTTGTCTCTTAAGATTACTTTGCAAATTACCATATGTGATATTTTCATAATATTAAACATTTATGTACTAAAATTCTAACTAACATGAAAACAGAATTTTGGACTATCTCTTTCATATTACAATGGTAGAAGAGCTTCTATTGTGAAAGCAATCTAGCATGTAGGAAGTTAAAAGAACACTAATAATTGCAAACACATGCTTAAGTTTAGTCTTCAGAAGTTACTATCCATGCTTAACACATTGATTGAATGATGGTGTGTGAATGTGGTGCAAGTTTATGAAAAAGGTTCACTGACTTTCGGTATAATACCAGTGCAATCAGAAAAGTTGTTTAAACTGTACACAACCTTAAAAGAATAGGTATGTTATGTCAGGGTTTTGATCATCTATGCACTGTGATCATTTGATGATGCACATTATGGCTGATATATCCAAAAAGAAGAGAAACTATTCTTTAAAAGAGAACATTAACATCATGTCTTTACTGCTATGGTATCTGGACTAACTTACAAGTGTTTATTAGAATATTACTTGTATACATTTAGGCTTTCAAAGGATTACTCATAGCAAGAGTTTGCAATTCATGATTGTTCTAGTTTTGTGATGTTATTTGAATTTCAGACCTGGGCTTACACATATTGAAATGAACCATACAAATTATAAAACTATATTCTCCATTGCTCATAATTAAAAAAATATATGAACCAGTCTTTCATTGTGTTAACAAAAACATACATTAGGTTTTATGGTGGGTCACTTTGACTTAAATTTTGACAGTGTTTGCACCACTTCGCAGTTCTACAGCAGACATATTTCAAATGAGCCCAAATGCAGCCATGTGCCTTTCGTGTCCATAAAACTTGTTTTTTGCAGCCTTGTAAACTGGTTCTGAATTATTGGAAATGGTTCAGAGGAGGGTTACTAGAATGGTGCCTGGGATAGAGGGTTTTTGTACAAGAGTTAGAGGGGATCTGATTGAGGTGTTTAATATTGTAAAGAGAATTGATAGTGTTGATCCATCTTTTTTTCATACTTAAGTGATAATAGTGGGAATAGGAGACACAAATATAACTTTTGACAGGGTAGTAGTCATTTTCAGCTACGAGAGTTTTATTTTTTAAAAGGGTGGTTGGCCTTTGGATGTTGTGGAGACAGTAAATTTAAGTGAGTTTAAAAGAAAGCATGATAACTATATGAATGATAAGGGCTTGCTTTAAGATTAAAAAAAATAATTATTTATTTGATAGTTTTAGTTTAGTTTAGAGGAAGGAATAGACCAGATTGACCAATAGGTCGCTTGTCCCAAAACATTGTTATGTTATATGAAGAGCTGTTTAGTAACTAATAATACATTGTTTGAAGTGTGCAACTAATTTTAATTTGTCAACTTTAAACTCTATTGGCCAAACAGTCTTGTTACCTATGCATTCAGTTTTAACCCGTACTCTTTATCTTCTTATTTGAGTTAAAAATTCCTTAACAGCAAAATATCACATTTTGAAATGTATTGTAATTTTGTAAATGACAATAAAAGAAGCAAAATTGCTAGTAATTTTAACATTATTTGTTTGAAAGCTACTTATTCCACCACAGGTTAAAGACTATGCATAGAAGATAAATCTAATCTGTATTTCTGTGACATTATTAGGCTGTGTTTCATGCTGTTTTACATCACAACTTTCTAAAAGAGGATTTATATATGGCTGTATTACTTCTTGTAACTGTGATTAGTTGGCTTCGCATAAATATGGGAGATATTACATTTTTGTTATCTTTAATAGTGTGTTAATGAACTCATTGCTACTAACAGTTTATAACTGACTCCAGGAGCTTGTTCCAGGAATTGGTAAAAACATTCGTTCAAAGCAGTGTCACATGTGGTTTATATAGTTTTTTAGAATTAGCTTTTGAAGTGAGTTGTCATTGACAGTAGTTGAGGTCAGCACCTTACACAAGTTTAAGAGGGGTAATTAGTGTTTTCTTGAATAATTTAATAGATATAAATTGTTATTTCTTTCCAGTGGTAGATGGGTGTGCCTTTAAGGACCAAATGGTCCCTTGTTGTCTGGGTTTTATAAATGTATTGTGAATAATATCCACTAGGATATATTACTTTAGACAACACCATATTAACAAGTTTAAGTATGATTGACAATAAGTAAAGCGTAATTATTAATGTGAAGTAATTGTAATTTTGAAGCCTTTATTTACATTGATTTGTTTATAAGTAGTATTTTTCAAAGTAAAATATTTGTGTTAGTATATTACTTTTATAAAGTATATATTTTTATACTATTATATAATCTTGTGATTGTTATGAACTTTGTATTTTGGGTTACACATAAATATGAGTATGTATGTACAAATATGAGACACAGGTTTATTTGATCAAGCAATATCATTCCTCAGCTACCCTAAAACATTTTACTTTTAATGTTGCTTTTTAATGTATGTTCGTAAACTTATCCAACATAGCATTGTTAGACCAAAGTTCATTGTACATACTTTCTATTTTGTTAAATCATTCTGTAAATATTGCATATGAAAAAGTACTTCTTTATAAGATTAAGCCTAAATCTAGTCTTCCAAAGCTTGAAACTGTGTCCCTTATAATTCATGTTGCCAGTTCAAATTTTACCTTTTCAGAAATAGAATAGTAGTTTCTAATGTTAGTTATTCCGAAGAGAAAAATTTTAAATTCTTAAGCTTTGTATTCTATTTTGTTATATATATATATATATATATATACACATTTATATAGGTGACAGTGGCTGGATTAAACGTATTTTCAGGCCTAAGGAAGATGGCAGCAAAAATTAAGGGCCTGGTTAGTAAGAAAAAGCGTCGTTATCAGGAAGATGGATTTGACTTAGATTTATCTTGTATCCTTTTTGTTTGTATTGTCTTTAAGATAAATGTATATGCAGTGTTGAATTCATAGTTCTTTTGGGGTTCTAGTTTGGCTTTAATCCAAAAGGTAAAGACTCTGAAAATTTCCAGTTATATGTTTAAATTTTTCTTAAGCATACCTTTTCTGTTAAATATTTGTGCCTTTTGTTATTGTTGTAATTTAAGTAAAATATAATGGAAAATAATCTTCAAAATCTGTTTTAATTTCATTCTGACTTGTAAAATAATTAAACAGATATATACAGTTAGTTTTCACAAAAACTATGCATGAAGTGCAAGAACCTAAATAATATGAACTATAATACTAGTCACAAATTATTATTAATTGGGGTTGCTAGATATCTGTCATTTAGGAGCCAGGATAGTTGCTTAATCCAGTGAGGAACAAGGGGAATGTCATTTCTGTCTTAACATAAGAAAATTTGGGACTCAGTTTTGTGCAAATTATACATAAATGAAATACACAAACTTGTTTTTCGTGCAGTGTAATGTTTACTGTATTTTGAAGTTAAACCAATCATGCAGTATTTTTTGTGCAATGAAGGATTATGTAATTCCCACAAAAACTTTTAGTGCCACATTTGTTTAAAAGCTAGTGGTCATACATTGGAAATCTAAAAGACTTTGCAGGATTATGTCAGTTTGTATTTCCTTGGTGGTATTTTAATTGTTATTGGAAATTCGGAATATGTACCAATTTTTTCTTTGATGTTTCATTAAATCATTGATAGTACTGGATGTAATAAAAAGTATGCCTTTTTTAATGAAAAATTCACAAAAAACTCCTACACATCAGACTGGTTTTTTGGGCATCAAGGAAATCTGGTGCCCAGGATTTGGGAAGCCCTGATTTCTAGAAAAATATTTTAGTGTGACTTTTACAACAGCTTGTTTCATGATAGAAATAGGTCACATTCTAGATTTTTGTAAGTTATATTTCTCTGTATAGACAGTTTAATTGTGCTTCATACAGCTCTGACAGTGCTATGATTGTTGGCTTATCTTATATATATATATATATATATATATATTTAAAAAAGTCCAGTATGTAATTTTTGCTGTTTAAACATTTGATATGGATGGTAACCTGTTGTCATTTTCATTTTAAGAAAAATGTCCCTTATTTGTAATTTAATAAATCATAACTTGTATCAAGTAGGGGTCACCAACAAATAAGCCAAGGATGAAGAAGTGCGTAAGTGAACTTGAGCACCCAGGGGCAGTGTGGGAAATAAGTGACAGGCTGTAAAAAGTAACTAAAGGCTTAAAATGTGAAGAATTACAGGAAGAATGAGAGTTATATGAAGGATTAGAAAATGGAGGTAAACTACAAATTTGGATGGAATTGACTAGATATGGCTGTTTTATCAAAGAACAGTAAGAAATACATGAAAATAAGTCTTGGGAAATTCATTCAGAAATAAACACATAGGAGAAACTTTGTGGTATGATAATTTCATTAATTATATCAAGCAAGGCTGTGTGTATGTACTTAGGAAGAAATAACAAGAGTTTGAAACTCACAAAATAAATAATCAACTTAAATACAAATTGCAGTTTGAGTTCCTTTGAAATAACAGCAGCAAGTGAGACTAGCATTGAAACCTGCAGCCTTTGCACAATGTTTCATAGTAGACATATTTCTTTTCAGTTTAAAATGGCACCATAGTTGAAGAAGAAAAAAATTTCAAAAAGAAGTGAACTAAAATATTTTTGTATTAATTTTGGTGAAACAAAATGTATGAAAAATGCTAAAAAATTAGCTTCACTGGCTTGTGTTACTTCTAAAACATTCTAGAAAAGTGACTGATTTTTAAAACATTAGTGGGGCCTGGCATGGCCAGGTGGTTAGGGCATTCGACTCGAATCCCCGTCCCACCAAACATGCTCGCCCTTTCAGCCGCGGGGGCATTATAATGCGACGGTCAATATTCGTTGGTAAAAGGGTAGCCCAAGAGTTGTCTGTGGGTGGTGATGACTAGCTGCCTTCCCTCTAGTCTTACACTGCTAAATTAGGTATGGCTAGTGCAGGTAGCTCTCGTGTAGCTTTGCACGAAATTCAAAACAAACAAACAAGGGATACAATATGTAAGGCTGACCCTATGTGCTTATTGGTGTTTGGACCTCAGTAAATTTTCACTAGCTATGGCCATGGAATTATGATAAAATTAATGACCTTGTGTAGTTGTTGACATTGATTATATGTGGGTAATCTTCATAAACATTAAATTTAATAACTTTAATATTGCAGCTTAGTAGTAAGTACAGAATGGAATAAATTGTTCCAGAAGATAAAATACATTTATGCATTTTTGGTGAATTTGTAAAAGCCTTGTTTAAAAGTTGCATTAGGTCTTCTAGAGAACATCAGAATAATTAAAATTAATCATAATACACCATTTTGTGTAAAGATTTAAAAGATCCCCATTTCTGCCTTCAATATCCAAAATGTTCAGATGTTTTGTTGTCCTCATTCCTGATATTATCTTGATAAAGTGCGAAAATCTAAAGTTACATAAATAAAATTTTAAAATAGTCAGAAGACTTGAAATTTTGATGTACCTGTTTTTAAACATTTGTTAGAGAATGTTAGATTTGAGTAAATCATTTAACCAAAAGATAAATTCCTGGAATGTTGGATCTCGAGACATTAATTAACTTATTGAATTTCACAAATGCTGATGATAAATTAGACATCAAATCCAATTGTATATGTTTTATGTAAGAATGTGTAATTTGTGCATTGTTCAGAATACATAATGTGAAATTAAGCTGTATCAACAATATTAATAGTTTATTATGATTAGGCCTACATAATTGGAAGTACAAAACTCTTCAGTTTAGTGCTATTTGCAGCTTATTGAAAAGAAATATATCCAGTAAACTGTGTATATTTTATGAATTTTAGTTGTTCAGTTACTGATATTTTTTGTCTAATCTATATTAAAATTGTATACTTACAAAATATTAAAGGATCTTGCACATTTTTATGATGATTAGAAATTAGAAGAAGTTGGAGTATTTTTAGTTTTGAGACTTATTTGGTACTTAGATCCCAAATGAGGTTACTCAAAGTGGACTGTTTAAATCATTGGTTTCCAAACTCTGTGTCACAGCAAGTTGCTAGGGATGTCTTGATAGATTCACCAAATGAAGAATAATTAAGAACATAAAAAAACTACAAAAAATTGCATGTGGCAGCATGGATGTTGTGCAAATCAAGGTAAGCGGGTTATGTTATCTTCAGTGAAAAAAAAAAGTTTGGATACCACTGGTTTAATTATATAACATAGTTAGTGTGATCTGTTTACTACAGGCTTTTTTTGTTTGTAAATTCAATAAATATCCATTTGGCTTGTTAATTTTTTTTTTAACATGAGAATTAGATATTTGTGACAACATTATTGCTATGGGTTATCCAGCAGAGAAACTTGAAGGCATCTACCGTAACCATATAGATGAAGTTATACGGTGAGTTTAGGATTGATCATGTTGTTAAGACAGTGGTACATGTAATTAGATGTGAAAGTTAGATTTTAATATTATATTTGAATTTTTTTTATTAGAATATACGTTACCAATATTTAAAAAAATGTGGCTGATTTCTACCAAGAAATGGTTATATTTAACTAAAGAAAATTTGGATTACATGTAAACTTTTACTGTATAAGTTTGATGCTGTTCATCAGAGCAACCTCTATAATACATGCATGCACACCTACAGTATGTTACAACACTCATTATCAACTTAGACTACAATTTGGCTAGGAGTTTCTTCAACAAAACAACAACACACACACACACACACACACACATACAAAATTAAAAGTTAAAAGACTGAACATTGTGAAATGAATCAGACTGTACCATGATATGAATGTATTCATATTTTGAAGAAATGTGCTAAGACACGGGACAAAAGGATATCTAAGAAATAATTAGTTCTGGATTTTCCAGAGTGTACAAGAAAACTTGAGTGGTTACTGAGAAGAGTGTCATCTAAGATTGTCTACATGCATGTTAAAATAACTTGTTTCAACCCTTCATATACCACCTAAATGCAATAATATTGTATTGAACTGTCTATATATTAGGCAACTGACAAAAAAAGAGCCTTTTGATACCCCAAAAAACAAAAACAATTTTCTTTATAACACTTTATTGCAGACGTTACAGGATCAAAGCCATGTCACCAGCAGCTTGATCATCTCTTCACTGCCATCTTCATGGTGGTGCTTTATCTCCAAATTTTTCTGATTCTGGCTCAAATGAAACACAACTTTCTTCTTCTGACTGAGGAAGGTATTGTGTTGTTAGTGGCTCAACCTGCCTTGATTAATATAGATTTGAAGTTTAGTGGGATGCAAGTGCACCACAGGTGGTTTACTTAGGGTTAAAAGAAATACAATACTTTTAACCTTTTTTATGTAGGTCCCAAATTCTTAAACCCTCACTTCTTTACTTTGCTTTTAAGTGAATAATTGAGATTTATTAATGTTTAAAGTTATGCAAAACCAGTGCATACAAATTGGCTGTTGTGTTTGCTACTTGTTGAAATCATTTCCAGTAAGTTATAGAGACTATATTGTTGAAATATTTTAGATACAAGTTGCTAGGTACATGTATATGTAACTAACCCTTTAAACAAGGGCATGGTTCTGTGCATGTCACAATGTTTATACAGAGTTACATTCAGAATGTAGTTAAACAACTTTATTTTGAATGTATGGCAATAAAGTTAACATCAGAATGTAGTTTATAACTCAAAGTTTTATATTACATATGTTTTGCTATCCCATTGAAAGTTTGAAGTAGCTCCATTAGTTATAAACATGGACATCAAATAAAAGCACAGTTTCCAAAACTGCCTTGCATATTAAGGATAAATGTGTGGTGCTTTTGTGTGGGTTGAGAAAATTTATTAATCTTTTGCTACAAAGAGAAGTTGCAATATTAAAATCATACACTGGACCTTGGAATTGTGTCTATGATAATTCAGACAATGTAGCCACTATGATATGGCAGTTATACAAAACTAAAAGAGAAGAATTCAGAATACAGGCACATCACATGACATAGAGAAGTAAAGACTGAAAATTTTTTTCTTTTGAAATTAACCATTCCTAATTTTGATAGATTAGAGGGAAGGCAGTTAGTCTACAGCTCCCTCTATCTGCACTAGCCATTCCTAATTTTGATAGATTAGAGGGAAGGCAGTTAGTCTATAGCTCCCTCTATCTGCACTAGCCGTTCCTAATTTTGATAGATTAGAGGGAAGGCAGTTAGTCTACAGCTCCCTATATCTGCACTAGTCATTCCTAATTGTGATAAATTAGAGGGAATATCAGGTATATCACTGTACAATGATGATTAAACAATAGTTATGATAGAGAAAATAACAGATAAAATAAACTGTTACATAAAAATTTTTGATATCATTTAGGAGGTTCTAGAGGTTAAGCAATTGAAATAAGAAAACATATAAAAATCATCTTGCACCTAGGTTGACTCAGTGAAGGCTTTGGGTGTTCAAAATTTTTATTATAGATACTTTTATCAAAGATTCTGTTTGTATGTGTGTGTGTGACAGACTTAATTTACTACAAGCACATCAAATTCCATGAAGATACTTTTAGTAAATTCAGAGTTCTAAAGTTTGTAAAGTTTTATTTTGAAGCTTGTATAAAATGACTAACCCATGCTTCTAGAGTTAAAGGTAATAGAATACATTAACGGGTGCTTGTATCAAAAATGGATAAACTTTGCTAATTGTAATAATCAAAAATAGCTGTTCAACATGCATATTTCAATAAATAGTCAGCAGTTGAGGAATAACAGATTTGTCAGGCAACTCTAACAATTACAAGTTCCCCCTGTGCAAATCATCAACATGTCTTTGACCACACTACATATATGATAATTTGAAGTTCTCCATTTGTTCTATCGGGGTATTTTGTAGTAAATGCAATCTGTGTATGATTTTCTAGCCATGAAAAACTTGTAAAATACTATGATTTGTTTGGTAACTCAGTCTTTTCTGGTTTGCCCTGTTTTTATGTATTGTATTTGCTTTTAGGTGTCTAGTAAACATTTTAGACATAGTTCACACAAAAGTTATCGTTCTTTGAGGTTTATGTTATTGAAAGCCTAATTGCTTAGATGTATTTTCCATTACTCATATTTGTGATTTGGACTTGCATTTTGTTGTATTGAGTAAAGTATCTTTGAACTGGAAGCTAAAACTACATTATAGCAATAAATGTTCTGTTGTTGAAATGTAACATTGTATTAACTTGATTTTTTTGTTGAAAGTCAAAGTGATAGGCTGTAATAAAAATTGGCATGTCAAGCCTAAAAAAATGTCATTGAAATGACATGTTTAGTATGTTACATTAATTAATTATATGTTTTGTAAGACATTAGTATTAGGTCTATTATTTTGTAAACTCTACATTCTAGTCTTTTAGGGATTTTCAAGAATTAGAAGAGCATATAATAATAATAATAATAATATTTCCACCACACTATATATATGCAAGTCATATCGCTACATTATGATTACAACTAAAAAAATTTCTATTAGAGATTTGCATGAGGCGCTTGTGCATGATATTAC